AAGATTACAACAATTTGAAGGATGTTGGTGTTACCACTTTGGACTGGCCACCTCAAAGTCCAGATTTAAATATAATTGAAAAGGTCTATTCTCTTATGAAACGTAAAAGAAGAGTATCGTTGAATAAAACCAGAGAGGAGAAAATTTCTGAGGTCAGTTCCCTTTGGGAACAGATATTTCCAGAGTTTAATCGATTCAGTACCGGGACGCCCGGAAAAAGTTATTGAAACTAAAGGAAATTATATATTTTACTAAATTCCTTTTTTTCCTTTAGTTTTTTTAAGTTTAAACTTTGTTATTCACATAAAAAGGTTGTTGTCAAAATACTTACGCCACAATATGAAAATTACTTTAGCTTATATTTTTTGAAGTTCATATGACAAAATGTTGAATTCATTATTTTTAAGTTTGTATTAGCACTATGTAATACAGAAAAAAATCATTGAGTTATATTAAACCATTGCAAAGTTACATAAAAACTTAAACCATTTGTTTTTCGTCAAAATAAATATGCCGACTAGTGTATATAACGGAAGTTTTTGCAGCAGTGTTATTATTCAAGACAATTCCTGTCACTTCTGCAGCAACTAAAAGGACCACACTCGACTCCGACATTTATTGCTAATAGCAATTAAAAACAAGCCTGGATTTAAACGAAGCCATTGATATTTTTGCGGATAATTGTTATTTAGTCAGTTGGTAAGCCTGTCCTCTATATAAAAAAAACCCTTGAATCTTCTCCATTTCGTTTTGTTAGCCAAAACTACTCTAGGTATTCTTTGTAATTTATGTTGTTACTGTTTAACATTTTTATTACCTGCCCTGCTATGCACAAAAAATAGCTTAAGTAGCTTAGCATTTTTAAAGTATTTGTATGTTTTATATTACTTAAGAAAACCTAATCAGTTTACATACCAACTAATTCATTATACATTAAATAATCCATTTTAGCAGTGTACGTGGAGGTACTTAAGGGATTTGTCCTGAGTGAATTTGATTATTATCGATTGAAGGGTTTAGGATAAATGTACATTGAACATCTTAAAGGCCATAGGGGCACTCCCATTCTTACAAAATTTTTACATCACAAGTGCCTATCTTATTTATTGATCAGTTATGGCACCTTGGATTGATTGGATTTCGGTTAACGGAAATTTGTGGGCGTGGTAGTGATCCAATCCCATTTACAGAACCGAACTTTGCTAAGGAACACGTGTACTAAGTTTCATTACGATATCTCAATTTTGACTTAAGCTACCGCATGCACAAGCAGACTGATAGGCGGACCGATTTCAACTCGTCTCGTCATGCTATACTTACTGAATCCAGCCCACAGTTAACGTCATCCGTTAGAATATTTTGGATCTAACGGATAATTGTGACTGTCAAATAAGAGACAAAGAATTTGAAATAAAATAATATTGCTATTATAAATTAAAATGTAAGCTATCATATCAACAGAAAAATAATTCGAAATAAAATATTCAAATATTCTTACTTTTTCAATTTTTGATGTTAGCGTAGCCGGCCATGTGTCACTTAGAAGTATAAATTAAATTCCTTTATAATGAAGATAATACAGTGAAATTATACTAGCTTTTAAATTATTAGTCCTAGATTGTTCAAACATATTTAATTAAAATATGTACATGTACGTTGTTTAAATGAGTTAAGCATCYACCCCCTCTACCCGGTAAAACTGGCGCATCCTAATACAATAGCGTAATTCACCACAGCTGATGACACTACAACGCACCTGTACCCCTACCCACTAAACAAAAAGGATGGACAACAGGATAGGAGTCATCATTCGTTCTATATACATTCCGCTCTATACTGCGCTGTAAGAAGCTTTCGTTCGTTGTACCAAATTCGCCAGAACTCAAGGTTTTTCTACAACTATTGCGCACTGGGATCATAAAACATCACCTCCTCCGATCACTCAGCGATCCGGTTTACATCCTCCCCGCTCCATATACGTGTACTCGGATTTCAAATAGAACATTATATTTTTCATAAGTTCTAAATAAACGTTGAATTAATGTACACTTAAAATACCCGTGCATTTTATTTAACCATCGCAAAAGAGATTAGTACTTTGTTTGCAAATTTTTGGCAACAAAAATGTTCATGGTATTATCACATAGTTATATTAGGCGTGTTTTATTTGACCAAAAAATTAAGCTATTAGCGTATTTTGTATGGAAGACTTAGCCAACATAATTATGTCATAAGCTATTATAGCTTGTATATTGAACTAGAGGCATTGCCAGTTCATCACTGTTTTTCATTCACAATAGCAAGGTTTTCCCCAAAACGAAGTAGTTAACAAGTCGAGAAACCTCATTTTGACAGAAGAAAATGTAAACCAACCAAAGTTAGAGATGAGTATTATGTTTAAATTAAGAAAAATATGAACACTGGTTTTCAGTTTTTTGTATTCTAGGCATCAAATAACTAAAATAAATATATTTGTATAGCGTATTAATATTCCGTCGACAAATTTGAAATTTCAAACTAAATTGTATATCAGCTGATTGTTCTTGTCCGCATTACCAACCCTATTCATTTTTAAGCGAATATTTGGAATAAGCTAAGTGCGTTTTATTTGTCCATGATTTAGCTCTTAGCTTGTGATGGTCAAATAAAACACGGCTATTATTAAATTTACTATGCCTCAAATCACAATGTATGAAATATGTATTTTGATAATAAGAGGAACTAAGGCTAAAGGATATACGTAACTAAATTTTATTATCGAGCTATTTATTTTCCGCTTGGTTCTCATGTTATTGATTTATTTATTAATGATAGTTAATCGATTTACAAAAATGTATTTACCAATTTGCAGATAATTAAACGGCGTTTAATAATGCTATCTTAAAAAATTAATTAATATACTACTGTGGTCAAATTGAAAGGTGAATTTTGTCCATTTCATTTCCTTTAAAGTATTCCCTTCCCGCTGCAATACACTTATGCCAACGAATTTTCGATTCATCTACATATATCATCAATATTCATTGGAAAAATCCTCCGTCGTGATGGCCATCAGAGCTTTCTTCGATTCAGCTTTTATATCCTCAATTGAGTCAAAACGGTGCCCTCGGAGAGCTCACGTGAATTTGCTGAATAGCCAGAAGTTACACGAAGGAAAATCAGGCGACGCGTTAGTTGCGGCGTGATATACTTGAAAATGTGGCGTAATGATCACTGCATTGGTTACAGTATGAGATGGTGCATTATCGCTCTTCTTTGTTCAATAAATTCAGACATAGTAAAAATCGAAGAACTGACTTTTAGAGCCTCACAAAACGACGCGTATCTCAAATACGAATGAATATTTTGACGTGAAATTTAGTATAGACTAACAATACTACCAACTTACCGATTCGAAAAACACGCGAAGTACAAATTAAAAATTCACCTTTCAATTTCATCAAAGTAGTATATATGAAAAAATTATAAAAAGCTCCCCATACTTTTTTAATACTTGTGCAAATATTTTTATTTTCATTATTTTTATTACACTTCTATTACAAATTATTTTGCACTCCTCATTTCAATGTGTTATATTAGCATGTTTTTCAGTTCTTTTATATTTAAACGATGAAATTATTATTCTAAGTCGAATGCCACCGAAAAAATGTAACCTCGACAACGCACGAAACATAGAGGCCCGACGCAAGCGTGTTGAAAGAGCATTCAACTGCCTGATAATTTATAAACTGTTCTTGAGGAAAAAATTAATTGATTCAGAGTATTTTTCCGAATATATAGAGTAATTACTTGAATTATAACTGGCCTATTTTGGCATCTAAAAATGTAGATGTTGACGAAATTAACTTTCAAATACAACAGTTGTTAACAGGCGATCTGATTTGTTTTAAATCAATCTACACTAAATGACTTAATGAAAATGAAAGTGTAAGTTTTCCAATTGAATTTTTAAATTCACTAGATATACCTGGAATGCCACCACATTAAAGAATGGTTCACCTATTTTTCTCCTGCGTAATTTGAATCCACATTGATTAAGCAATAGTGCGAGTTTGGCTATCAAAAAGATCACCGGAAATATTCTTGAAAGAAATATATTATCTGGAAAGTTTAAAGGTGAAGTGGTCCTGTTGCCACGTATTGCAATGACACCATTGGATTTTACGATACCCTTCAGGAGGCTACAATTTCCATTTCGTTTAGCTTTTGCAATGACGATACGGATTAACCAAAAATATTGTGCACCAATTAGTGCTAAATTAAATTGAGATTAAAAGTATTGATAATTCAAAATATTGATTATTATTCTTAAAGCATTAAAACTATTTGTTAGAAATTTAAATAAAAATAAAATATTTTTAAATTAATTCTTTTGTATCGTATTAAAAGTACTTCCCTTTGAAATTCCAATCCAGTGGATTCTTAAGATTTAACGTTTCCGTCTTCGTTCGTACATAATAATTTCATTGTATTAAGGGGTAACTGTTCCCCGTGAAGAGTTTACTACAATGTAATATAACAAAAAATTTAACCACAGCAACGCATGGCCGGGTTTGCTAGTCATTTATATATGTACTATATATATTATAAAACCTATGTATATCTATTTCGATTAGGTTTAGGTGATATAAACAACCATTAGGTAAACAAAACTATTATACTCTGTAGCATCATTTTTCAAGCGTATAAAAATTATAATTAACAGCATGCCTTAAACTTGGGCAAAGCTCTAAATCTTCAGTCACCTAATCGCGTTAGGCAATATTCTAGTTGTTTTCGTGGAAAGTGGCAATCGAGTTACTAGTATAAATGAAGTAACTGGCATAAGCAAATAATGATATAAAGATATGGCGAATCGAAAACGACATATATAAGAGATAAGTTGAAGGGTCTGCTTAAAAGCCATTTCGTGTAAAAGGGAGAATTTAATAAGTGATCATGTGGCCACGCGCAAAGCTATACATACATATATTTTGAAAATCATGCACGCATGCTCGTTCTTTTGGTATTTCGGAGTGTTTTTCGCTTAATGTAGGCATTACTGATATATCTGTATGAATGCAATTGTACAAATATATGTGTGTATGTGTACCAGCATGTGCAATATATGGAAATTGTATTTAGCATTAGTTCTACAATGAAATCTTTTTTAGCTTTTGCTCGCTACTACTATTGTTTGTGAAATTATTTGTAAATATTTATATTATTATACTCATACCCCTTTGGCGTTTATTGCTGTATTGTTGGTGTTATTGTTTTTCTTTTTTTTTTTGCTGCTGTTGCTATTTGTCGTTTTTGTTGCACTTTTGTTGTTCATCAATTCAGTTTTTGTTTTCAATTTATCCGCTTCACCCAGCGTGGATGACGATGTGGGGCTTCTTGGTCCTGTAGCTGTTGATGCCGGATCTCCAGTAGCCGAACCTGACATATTTACTGTATCTATTAACGCTGTGACTTTTTTATACAATCTCTTAAATGGGGATGCAACATTTGATACTAAATTTAGCTGCTGTTGTTGACTACCCGTAAAGTTCTGCCATGGCTTTGTGCTGAAACGAACTTTTGTTTTGGCAACTCTTGCGACTTTTGGATTGGTTGAAGTCTTATTTACATTTTTGTCATTGGTGAACGCAAAAACGCTGCTATCATTTAAATGGAAGGTGAACTGGCTTTTCTCATCTGGATTTATGTGTGGTCTTGTGACAAGCGATACCTCTACGTCGTCTTTGTTGTCGGTATCTGCTTGGACTATATACATTACTTCCCTGTGTAAGTCAATGTCGTCGAAGTTATGTAACGAATCTACAATATTATCTAATTTTTGGCGATCATTGTAAAAGCTCGTGTCCTTAATATTGCCGTTGGGGTGTGACTGCTTTCGTCCTGAATGTAGCATAAGTCTTAGTTGTTGTAGTTGTAGCTGTTGATTTTCTAAGATGAGACTGCTACTTCTGCTGAAGTTAGCATTGGCACTGACTCCAACAAATCTCAAGTTGTTAGTTTGCTTCTCAAACGAATATCGATCACTACCGTAATTCGGCGTCTTATTGACTATAGCGTTGAATGTTTGCAACGACTGCAGCTTACCAACTGTCATGTCCCCGACAATAACGTCAATGTCAATATTATTGCTTCCATCAAGGATATCTTCCTCACCAATTCTTTTATTTTTTTTAATGTTATACGCGATTATGTTAGTGTTGCTATTACTACGATTATTCAATCCCGCTTCAACTTCTATGATTTTGCTGACAGGCCGCGCATTTTCTGACAATATTTTACTGTCGCCAGTTATATGGTGTGACTTGTTACTGCTGTTCAAAAAGCTTTTGATGTTATTCGCAAAATAAAAATTTGTGAAACTGCTGTTATTACTATTACCGTTATTATTAGGATTATATTTGTATTTGCTACTCATTTGATTATTGCTGCGATTCATATGGTAAGCATAATTATAAAATGATGGCACAGGACCCATTTCATTTTGCTGCACTTGCAATGGTTCCTTATGTAAATCCTGAATAAGAAACAAAGAAAATGTATAGGCTTAAACATTTAGTTTTTGTACATTTATTGTTCAAATATGTAGCACAGAAAGCTTTAATAGGAAGAATAACTCTCTTAGAAAGCAGGTTATGTTAAGAGAAGACACGAACCTTACTTGGACAGCTTAGAACGCTGATCTGTTGTGGCACCTAAAACTCCTATATAATTGTTTATAACATCCTCACAAATCGACAAAACACTTTGTGGAGACGGCTAATGTCAGTTACGGCTATGTCTACTGGTTCAATGAAGATAAGACTGCCGTGATCATTCAACCTCAGTCTTGACTGAATGTTTCCAAATAATATTCCTACGTACAATTTTGACAATTTGCATCCGACAAGATTTTTAGCCTTACCCCATGAATACCTATTGAGCAATGTCCAGTAAGAACTTCTACTATTGCGGCAAAATGAACTTTGGAAGTAATTCAGTAGATCTCTCACTTTCTACTCTAGGCTAAAAAGATCTTGGATTCGCACAGGAGCGAGTCGGTGACCAAATCCTGCTAAGCGCACGCGTGTTCCATTGGTCCAGTGCTAACACGCAAGATGGCAATGGAGATCCAACTCGTTAATATTCCGATGTGATTCCGATCATTCGCTTAGCGCTATGAATAGGCACCCAATTGAGTCTGATGATGAAGTAGCTTTGCTTAGAAGGAAAACACTTTCCATTGTTGAAAAAATATGCTCTACTTTGTAATCGCAAAGCAAAAACTTTGTTCGGGTACACAGCGGTTCGATTTATCATTTACATCCGAAAGAAAAATGCATAGAATACAGAAGTGGGAATCTACCAAAATTTAAGTATTCGCCGTGAATTAATTATAGAAGAGAAATACAAGAATATAATCATGTTTTAAGTAAGATATAAAAAGAAAGTGTTAAAATTTGGTACAGCTTTAATTATATACTGCAGTATTTTCTAAGAATAATTAGTGACAGAACATTTATATAAAATATGTTCCTATAGAAAATTTGACCATGAATTCAGCAAATTCGTTTTTGGGAGGAAATTATGAATTGTATGCCCACCCAATTGCATTAATATACATATCTTGCTAAAGACATGTATGTGGATACATGTGTATGTTTACATACCACTCCACTCGTAATTATATCACTGGAACGATGGTGATAGTAATACTGCTGCTGCTGCATCGATTGGTACCATTTGTTTTTACCAATATACCTTCTGCCATTACTGATACCAGCAGGTATTTCACCACTATGGCCACCGACGAGGCCGATTCCTCCAACGCCGGCTCCAACAATTACGCTGTCTGCAACGTTACTGTCACTGCCTGAATTACCGTTCAAATTTGTTTTTAAAACTTCTCCCACATTTAGTGAAGTTAACTCCGTTGGAAATACGTAGAAAATCCCCAGCATCACTGAATATATAAACAGGTGGAAGATGACGCAGGACCATATAAGATTGATCTAGAAATAAAAGTGTAAAACAAAATTAAAAAGAAATATTGCGAAATTAGAGACATGTTTGGCTGATGCTTAAAATATAAGTAACGAGTTGTAGAAATCACTTCATTAGAGTTATCCAGAAACTTAACTTTTTGTGATTACATTTGGAATTTATGCTATGCTTTATTTTATACACTTGATGGGTAGGGCGGACAAAATTGGTTTATTAGATCAAAAATAGCAAGATCATTAAAAGCGTGTCCATTTAAAAAAAAAAAATTTTAAGTTTTTATATTCATTATGCAGTTTCATCTTATTAAAGCGCTGTAAATATGGTAAAAGCGATCGTAGCTATGTACATCTGTAGTTCGAGCGTAAAGTCAGTTAGTTTTGTTCAGAGATCACTTATGTTATCTCTAATGAAATTAAGCAGATAGAAAAAATGGCTTAAGCAATTTCTTTTCCCCTTCTGAAAACTTAATTTCTCAATAATTTAGCAACTTTTTTATACTATATATACCCCTTTTATATAGGTACCCCTTTACATATTCACTGTATATAATTTAAATTTTCTTTCAAAATGTGTGTAATGAGTGCTTCATTTATCATTAAATAAAAATATATGCGACGAATAAAGTGAAAACCTTAGACTTTCGTCCATATTTGGTAACGCTCACAAACGGCACCAGCGCAATGGTTAAGAATATCCCACAAAAAATGCCCGCTAACAGTCCTGCAAAGTTCAACTGCCAAGGTAGTATTCCAACGCCAAAAACCAATGCTGTCATACACATAAGTTTGAAAAGAGCAACGTGCGGTTTACGTAGATGCTTCCAGTGGATAAGTATTAGCAACACAACCAGGGATGCAATTACACCAGACAATGATGCCAATGGTCCAACCTAAATATGAGTTGATCAAATAAAATCTATCAAGTAAAATAATATTTCGTTATACTCACTTCTGCTTTGTATGGCACTAATACGGCGCTAGTTAAATTTCCAGCCAGTCCTGAGCCAATATAAACAATAGCGGTGCGAACAGGCCCTATTAAACGCTCCAAGTCGGCTAAAAATACATGTTGAAAGGCGATAGTAATGGCCAAATGAAGAATCCCAGCATGTAAGCAAAGTGATGTGAATAGACGATAAAATTGATCAGGCACCTCACCAGATATAAATGGCACCATGCCGCAGACGTTGCTCAAGCAGGAAATCTGTAATTATACAAATTTGGGGTATTGAAAATATATAAGGACGACGTACTTTGCAGGACAAGAAATAAACAAATACCCAAGAGTTAGTTTTTGGTGTAAATCTACACGCTCACAATTTGCAATTTGTCTCGAACGAACAGACAGTCAATCGAAATTTAGCTCATTTCCTAACACGATAATCATTTATATATTAGGTTGCAAAAAAAGTCTTGCGGTATTTTCGCTAGTTGGCGCTGAGAGCGAGAGTTTTATTCGTCGTATCGGGTCATGCTATACCTTTTTGGAAAGCTTATTTCAATACTTTCAGAGCTAGAGTGTTTTCGTCCAATCGGACAACATGAGCTGTTTGTATCACCTGAAATCAATCTAGATAGACATGGAGTTATATGTATATAACTTTGTATATATATAATATACATATGACTCCATATCTATCTACATTGATTTCAGATGATACAAACAGGTCATGTTGTCCGATTGGACGAAAACACTCTACCTCTGAAAGTATTCGATGCAGTATCGGCCGGGGGAAGCAGAGGAAGAGGAAGATCTCCACTCCGTTGGAAGGACCAGATGCAGAAGGACCTGGCTTCGCTTGGAATATCCAATTTTCGCCACGAAGTGAAAAAAGGAAACGATTGTTAACTCGGCTATAATCGCGTAAGCGATGTCTACGCCAGTAAAGAAGAAGAAAAATATACAAACAATGTTTAGGTGACAACAATACAATAGCCTTGTATCAACATGTTGCTAGAGTATATAAACGGAAATGCAGGTTATTATTCGAATATTTCTTAAAAAAGTAGGACTGTGGTGACTTCTGTATCTTGGCGCAGTATCATCCGAAATCAAAATCCATTCGTTATATAATCCGAAAATTTGTTCTTGTAAAACAGAAATTATTAACGAATTTAAAAATAAATGTTCTAAATTTAGAAAGAATATGTTCAATGATTTTAAAGATGCTAATAAGCATTTTTCTTATCTAATTTAAGAAATTGATGAATGGTTCAAACTTTGACAAATATGGACCTTACCTGCGAACATAACGATGCTTCTTCGTGAAAATAGCCATTGACGAAATCACAGTACTCGCGAGTGGTTATTCTACATTCTCCATAAACTCCAGTGCAACACGGATGACCTATGACCTCACATACCATGTGTTCGGCGGTGTGATCTTTGTAGCGAAAACGTTGTGAAAACGAATTTGTTTTCCGGCAAATGGGCCATTTTGTTATATCATCTGGCCATTCATATGGTGCTATGGATGCGGGTGTATCGCAGTATTTAGGATCCAGTCCACAAACGGAACCCGAAATGCGACCACCTGGTCCAGATTCACCAGGCGACCATTTTTTCCAGGTTGATATAGACTTCTAAAATTAGATTTAAAATTATTTTATATATACTCTTGTCACATTTTATTTTTACGTATACAAAATTGTATTTTCACTTACGGTTGGGAATAGTCCACGCACAGAGCAGTCCGCTTGAGAGCTTTGTACGCATCCTGAATCATCGTTGCGTATACAACAAGCTGTTTCACGTTCTTGCCGCCTCGTCTTCAGTAGCACATCCGTGATACGAACATCGCTACGCATACAAGTAGCAAACTTCGCACCCATATGTACCAAGTCATTATTTCGTGGCCCTATCCATAAATTTCGCTGCTCGGTGTGCTGCACTGTTTGCAAACTAAGGCTAGTAACCAGTACCTGTCCCGTTTTTTGTTCAACTCCAATTCCTATAGGCCCTATACCGTAGCAAATGAGCGACAATAAGAGAACTAATGTCTGCACTGTGTTTATCCAATACGTAAAAAATGGCCGATGATCCGCACGATCGTCTAGATCATTAACTGTAAACAATTTAACTTTGCGCTGTATTGAGCGACGCGAGTTCTCGAGTACGCCATCTAAAAGTTGTGCCGCTATGCGATTGCCGCGTGTTCCGTTTGTTGGTTGTACATTTGGCAGTAAAGGTGTGCCATTATTACCAGCGATCGGTGTCATATTGGACTGGTGGGAGATGCTAGTACTGCAAACATTACTTGATTGTTGACCACCGGTATTAATGTTGGTGGTTGTGGCTTGCTGCAGTAATATGGATGCAGTTATTTGTTCACCATTTGCAGCAACGTTGGTGTTGGGAGTGCCATGTTTTCCACTACCACCCATTACGGCCGAAGTACGCCATCCGTGCATACGTTCACTCATGTATATTTGTCGATGATGTTCAAGTAGCTGTACGCCAGTATTGTTCGTAATCGTGGCACTGCCATCACCGGGTCGCATAACGTTCGATTGCTGCAACGAGCCGCTAATTGCGCCATTACTGCTATTCGAACCAATTACATGGCTATTGTTTAGAGTTTGCTCAGTACCTGAAGTGTCGAAAAATAGTTCCTCTTCGTGAAGCGCTGGTAAGCCTTCAAAAATATCACCTGAGTTATCGATACCATGGATTTGATTTATATGAGCTTGCGCAAAACTCCGTGACCATTGTCGGTTGTGGCGTGGATGTCGTTTATTCAGTGTCTGTACGACATAAGTTAGACTAGACATAATCATTGTACCTACGGATGCTTTCCGCTCGACATGATCTCCTAACTGGAAGTCAGTATATGAGAAATGACGTCGTCGCGATGTATATTCGATTGTCAAGTCATCACCTTCTGTATAATGAGCGGGTAATATATCAGGCCTTTCCGAAGGGTGATAATGATGTTGATAGTATTGTTGATTAGTCCCCCCACCGACTCCATTATAGAAATTTATGCGGTTATTGACCTCACTGGTATCTGTGTTGTTTATTTCAGTATGTAACTCATTCTCGCTTTTCAACGCACCAAACCTTCGGAGGGCTAAACGCCTTTGACGACCTTGCCAAACAGCAAATTCTTCAGCTTCCGTACTGGCGTCTACACCAAAAAAACGGGCTATTTCTTTGCGTATATATTGACTCAAACGTTTCTTTCGAGAAAAGCGTTGAATTTGCTGCTGCTGTTGTGGTACAGGCAGTTGTTGTATTGGTGAGGGCTGTTGTGATTGATGATGCATTTGCAAAGACGAATGTTGCAGTAGTTGCCGATTAAGGTTCAAAGCTTGTTGATGCTGCTGCTGCTTGCACATTTGGGCGTTGCCAGTAATACTAATGTGCTCTGTGATTGTGCCCTCTGTTATTACATCCATTGGATGATGCAGGGCTTTTGAAGTCACATACATTTGTTCTCCTTGCTGCTGTAGCAATTGCTCAACTCCGCTATTGCTACTGTGATCATTCGCTTTACTTCGAAAAGGTACTCGCGAATTCGGTGCTCCGTTTGCCAACGGCGATTGTGGGGAAATATGCGACTCGCTAGTGGATGGTGTTAGTGAAAGAGAAGTTTGTTCCAGCTTATTCTGTATAAAGACGCCATTGCAACTACCGGTGACTCCTGCACTATTGCCTTCAAGTACTTGTTGTATAGGTATTGGGCTGATCGGGCCTGTTGTCTGAGTGGTCTGATGGACGCCGGTTGTACGTCGCACTGTGTTGCAATGCAAACAAGTTGTGGCTGCACCGGGTCCAGAATTTATGTTGCTAATACTGTTGTCACCAACACTATTTGAGCCAGAATTAGCATCCATTTGGGTGACAGGTGTCGTATAAATGCGGCTGTTACTATCATTTATCACATTTGAGTTATTACCACGAACGACACCGTTGGAATTCAAGCGGCTGTTGCCGACTACATACATACCGTTGGCGCCAATAGATAGTGGTGAGGCCGTCGAAGGTCTAACGCATAAAGGATTCGAACCGCCCGCCACAGCGGTCGACGCTGAACAGGCCGTCGACGCAGAAGTTATACAGCTAGATGTGTTATGCAACTGAGATAGCGATGTCAAGTTTTCATTTGTTGGCATTTGTTGATCTTGTAAGATGATAATGGAAGCATCTTTTGCTGTTACTCCAGCGCATTTTGAATTATCCATGCCGTTAGCAATGATATTGCTGTTGTTAACAACATTGAAGGATGATCGATTACGCGGAGATGTGGCATAGTAGTCGGTAACTAAGAGTGGCCGATGCTCAAGACTATGCGTCATATGCGAGGTATTTATATTAGCTGCCTGCATGACTGGTGGATGTGCCAAATCATTGGCACAGCATTTCACGCGTAAGCGGAGAGGCAGTGTGTTGACATGTTGCGTTGTGCCATTTCCACCGATCACTCTGCTGTTGTTCGTGCATTTGCCTACATATGTTTGCGGCGTCAGTGTAGACTGTTGTACCGATATGTCAGTGTATAGTTCGTTTGGCGGTGGAGGGGTCGGCACATAGCGCTTTACAGGCGTATGCACTGTCGACGAAAGGTATGTGTATGTGTCGCTTGTCACCAAGGGTGTACCTTGTGTTAAAAAATGTGCGGAAGAGGCGTATCGTGCGGTACTGCAAGGCGGTGTTGAGACATCACCCGTGGCCGCAGCAGAGGCGCCTTGGCTACCAATGGTGGTTGTGCTATTCAAAACCAGTGATTTAGGCGTAGAAACCTCACGATATCGGTCTGATAAGCGAAATCGAGTATTCGGTGAATTTGAACACTGTTGCATGCTGCCTGCGTACTTTTCTGACAAGTTTGTGCCGCAATTACTAGAAACAGTCGACGGTAATGTTGATGCGGATGAAGAAAGCGATTGTGCAGTATGATGATGATATAAATGCTGTGTGTTTGCTTGATGTACTTGACCGCCAATATTGCCACCGCCATCATAATTAGTGTATGTCGTATGCATATCCAAACAGTTAACATTACTGGAAGTGCCACATATTTGAGAACTTTGCAGTGATGTTAAGCCCATTATGTATCTATCACTATTCGGCGCTGGTGATGGTGGCGGCAAACAACAATTTGTTGAATCATCAAAGCCATTAATCGGTTGGGTTGAGAGTTTACCATGATGATGCAAGAACATCTCATTCGGATGTGGACTATAACGGCCTCCAGATGCACCAATATCGCAGCAATTATTGCTGCCCATAATATTAGCATCATTGATAAGCTGCAAATGCGGTTGATAGCCCAATAAAGAACGACAGCGTACACCGCACACATTATTGTTGCTCATGTTACGTCGGTTATTGCGAACTCCCGAGCTAAAGCCACAAGTCTGAGAACCTGCAGTTGCTGTGTGATGAGTGCGGTGATGATCATTTTCGATACAATTTGATGGATTCGGTGAGATCATGTTTTGGTAGCGTGGTTCGGCAGTGTTTGTAATGTCTTCAATGCATATTGGCCACGTGGGTGATAATTGTACGCTGTTGCAAAGCCTTAATATAAATAAAAAAACAAAACATTGTTTGCTATAATTAGAAAAAAAAATATTAGTATTACATGTTAAAGCTCTGTGCTTCAATAGTAACATTGCTAAAAATATGACTCCATCCTCCAAATCTATGTTTATTGACTATATTTAGGCAAATGTTTAGATTTAAACAAATTCATTTTTATTTCATCAGATCACAGTACATTTTTTCAATTTTTACGAGTTATATGTGCATTTGTATTTTTTTGCTTTGAAGTGGAACTGTCTTTACTGACTTTTCAATAAGTATATTATTCATCGTCCGTCTGGACACAGACGCTAGCTAAGTATTCTTGAGATCCTTCGACAAAAAAGTTACTTTTTTGAAGTAAAATTCAAAAGGTAATCAAACTCGTTTTATGAAAGAAAAAAAGAAAAATGTGAATTGTGGGTTATTTTTGTTAAGCACTTGGTTATTCATAAGATCTGAATTGGATTCTGTTTCTACAGGGTTTGTCCTGAAAGTAAGAGGACTGATTTTTTTCCTGCCGCGATTGTACTTCAAAGTGTGCGCGCACCGACTGAATTCGGTAGAGGACGCTTCTAGCTAACGAACGAGCTGCAGGTCAGTTGTTGAGCACCAGGAGAGTCAGGACAAACATTTTTGCGCGACATGTTTCTGTGAGTGGTGCTAACCAAAAATGGAGCATTCGTTAGAGCGATTAAATTCGTTTGATATGATTACGCAGGCTTACCCAGATGTTGCTTTACCAAGAAGTAGTGTGTTTCGGGGGCATCAGGACTTTTTTGAGAGCGTGAAAGAGGTCGATGTAGAATGAGCAAATCCAAAGTGAAAGTGATGCTCCTTGTCTTTTTTGACATCAAAGGCCTCATCCACCATCAACTTGTTCCTCCTGGACAAACCGTTAACCACAAGTTTTACGTGGAAGTCCTAAAGAGACTCAAACAAAGGGTCAATCGCTTCCGACAAGGCATCGCAGCCGATTGGAAGTTTCAATACGACAATGCCTTTTTTGTGAACAGCTTCCTAACCAAGGCCGACATCCCAATGCCTTCGCAGCCGCCCTACAACCCTGATATGCCCCCCGACTTATTTCGTTTCCTTGCCTGAAAAGGCCGATGAAAGGCAAGCATTTTGAGAGGACAGAGGGGTCCAAGCAGCATGCATCTCGCCTCTTATGGCTATTACGAAGGATGCCTTCCGTGATGCCTTTCATTATTAAATATCAGGCTGGCAGCGCTGCATTGTAACGATTGGTTGGGTGAAGTCATTTGAAGAAGTTCACGCAAGTGAGAAAAGTTCTCTGATTGCCTTTCACTAAGGAGTGGTCAGAAACGATTCTTTTACATATGACTTAAGCAGCTCACGATTTCCGGACCTAGACCAAGTATCTTATGGGTAGCCAAAGTCCTCGACAGGGGAGGGTTTGGGATCCGGCACATAAAAAAACGCACCTAATAAAAAATAACAATCAGCTTTGGATGCGAAACCCCTCTTTTTGATGACGACCAAACTTATTAAGGATTACGATTTGAGGGCTTGCACCTGGAATGTCCGGTTCCTTAATTGGGAAGGTGCCGCTGCCCAGATGGGTGATGTCTTCGTTAGAATGAAGGCTAACATCAGTTGGTGCTCGTGGCATTTACTGCAGCGACCATATAAAGAAGCGCAAATTTGGTGTGAGATTTGTGGTAGGAAAGAGACTCCGTCGCCGAGTATCGTAATTCACCCCGGTGAATGAACGTCTGGCCCCAATTTGCATCAAAGCAAAGTTCTTCAACATATCGCTGATTTGCGCCCACGCCCCGACAAAAGAGAAGGACGATGTGACCAAAGATGCCTTCTATGAGCGCTTGAAGCACACCTATGAGAGCTGTTCCCGCCACGATGTCAAATTCATGATTGGTGATTGACTTTAACGCCAGCGTCATCAACGAAGGTATCTTTGACACTACGGTCGGTAAATTCAGCCTCCACGAGGAAACATTCCAAAATGGGTTGAGGCTGATCGACTTCGCCCGGGCCGGAAATATGGTTATGCGTAGTACTAGGTTCCAACATAGGAGAAGTCATCACACTAACTGTCTGTCTCCTGATCGAAAAGCCTTCAACCAGATCGACCATATTGTGATAGACGGATACCCGTCTCCAGTGTTTTAGACGTGCGTACGTTCCGAGGTCCGACCATCGACTCCAGCCTTCCTGCTGCAGCTAAGATATCATGTTGCAGCCAAGATTCGCACCCGATTCTGTGCAGCAAAAAACGCATGTCAACAAACACAAGGAACGTTCGACGTCGAGAAACTGCAATCACAACAGACGGCCGAGCGATGTTTTACTCCGTTTGCACTCCTGCTTTCTGAGAGCACTCGTCAGCAACTCGGTATAAGAAAACTGTGGGATTTAAGAACAGATACAAAGGAAACCATTGGTTTTCGGAAAATGCAAAAGAAGAGCTGGTACGACGAGGAGTGCCGTGTCGTAGCGCAGAGAAAACAGACCGCATACATCGCAACGTTACGATCAAACACAACACATCCGGGATGGGATGTATATAGAAAGTTTAAGAGGAAAGCGAGACGCATTTACAGACATACACAGAGACAGGATTAAATATGTCAGTATGGAGAGTTTGACAAGTTGGCCGACAAGAGTAATGCTCGAAAATTTAATGCATAACGCCAGGAAAAGGCGAACCCGATTTTCCAATCGATGACGATAGAGCAGACGTTCCGACCATGAAGAAGTTCGAAGAGCAATTACCCGTCTGAAGAACGACAAAGCCAAAGCATCGAAGAACTGCATCAGCGTCTTTGTAAAATATGGTCGGACGGAAGAATTCCCAACGATTGGAATTTAAGAGCGTTCTGACCATTCCACAAAAAGGAAGACCTCACAATCTGCATCAACTACTGCTTTTGACAGCCTTTATGTTGCGATGTCTGAATTTGGTATCCCCTAATAGGGCTGTGTAAACTGTAGTTGTACAATACCAAAAGCCTCGCCAGGATCGGGAAGGACCTCTCCGAGCCGTTCGATACCAAACGAGGTTTCAGACAAGGCGATCTATCGTGCGACTTCTTCAATCTGCTGCTTGGGAAAATAATCGAGCAAGTACAATCTTTTATAAGAGTGTACAGCTGCTGGCGTATGCGGATGATATTGATATCATTGGTCTCAACCCCCGCGCCGTTAGTTCTGCTTTCTCCAGACTGGACAAGGAAGCAAAGCAAATGGGTACGGTGGTGAACGAAGGCAAGACGAAATATCTCCTGTCATCGAACACCATCGTCGCACTCGGGATTTGGCTCTCACGTCAGTGTTGACAGTGATAGCTTTAAAGTCGTAGAAAATTTTGTCTATCTTGGAACCAGTATCAACACCACCAAATAAAAATACATCGGCTACGCTGGCTAGGTCATGTTTTCCGAATAGCCGAAAACACTCCAGCTGTGATAGTATTCGATGAAGTACCCGCCGGGGGAAGCAGAGGAAGAGGAAGACCTCTACTCCGTTGGAAAGACCAGGTGGAGGAGGACCTGGCTTCGCTTGGAATATACCATTGGTGTCACGTAGCAGAAAGAAGAAACGACTGTCGCACTGTTGTTAACTTGGCTATAATCGCGTAAGAGGTATCTACGCCAGAGAGGAAGAGCAGAACGATTGTTTCAACCAATTTTGTTCAATCGTCAGTCTCATTACTTTCAAGACAAACCCTGTAGTATTCTTTCTCAAGATTTGTAGATATGATGTATTCTTGAAAAGAAATAATATAATGTTGGCATTTCAAATGCAAGAAAGTACATAAAATCATTTTTAGTCTCGTCTTTATTTGCTGATAAAATTGATATTGCTTAAAACAAAATTCCGTCTAATGCTCTTTTGTTTTTATTTTAATTGTAATGGATTGACGATACAGCTACTTTCATTTAGTGGTATATAAGAAAACTAAAATCATTCAATGTAGCCACAAAGTGCCAAACCTGCAAAACTTTTTCTGAGCGAAAATAATCGAGTTTAAGATTAGGGCATGCACCATTATAAGCGAAAGAGATTGCTATTATACAGCAGATTATTATTTTGGTGTATGTTTTTAGTAAAATGCATACATGTTTTGTAAAACTAAAAAAATTTGGTTGATATTAAGAAATTTTGGTATATATTCCAAACACTATTATAGATATTACAAACTGTGTGCACTTTATCCATTTCTAGGTAGATAGAAATGCCGCCATCCAAGGCTCAATTAGCGCTGTATGTACCATTTTGATGCACTATCGTAAGGCCTTTATTATCTTGCTATCTCGTTCCATCGTTGCACTTAATTCATTTGGTGCTCTCAATGAAACTACTTATATCCGTTATGCTTTTTGTGGAAGTCCTTCAAGGTTTGATGCCTGATGGATTCCAAGTATTCTGTAACGGGTTTGTGCTATAACTGGGCGTTCACAAAGAATGTGGAAACAGTTTCCTTATTCTCTTCTTTCCACAAATTATTTATATGAGGCAGACGTATTTTTAATATCATTATCCAAAAGACTAATGCCCCGTTATAGCTGTAGTTATGAATATACCCTTCTTATACCTATTCTAAGCTTCGTTATCTCTCAGTTAATTTTTTGACTTTCATCTGTTTTGAGCTCTCTGTTCAAAATAAGTATAAAGCTCTCTCTATATCGTTCCCATCTGATATGATAACTATTAACTACACCTAGGATTCGTCTGAAGAAGCGTCTAGCTTGGCGAATTCGTCTGCTTTTGAGTTGCCGAAAATGTTCCTGTTACTAGGAACTCAAATTAGGGGGGTCGACCTAACATTAAGTCCCTTCTGCCGTTGTTGAATACCCTGGATTTAATCTTCTTAGTAAATAGTGGTACGTTTTGCCGCATATTTATACATATGGATTTGCACCTGTATTGCAATTGTAATTTGAGGAACTCATAAATATTTTCGAAGATATAACGAGTTCTAATTGTATTTAAGTTTAATATTTCTTATCTGATTTTGTTAAATTGCGGAAAAGGCTTAACCTAGATTATACTACATAAAGTGGCTCTACCGAACTGTATTTGAATAATTAAAGGCATAATTGTTAAAAATCACTTATATTGAATTAAAAATGTGCAATATGTAGGTATATATGTATGTTATATATCTGTATATAAATTTTTATAGATATTGCAAGGATTTACTTTTAAACGAAATGTGACATAAGTTATAGGCCTGTTGTAAGCTACACCAGTTTCCATTGACTATGTCTACTTAATATCAAAATAATCACTCATAAGGCAAAACACGACACTCTTGTCATTAAATCACATATGCACATGTGCAAAGGAGTTATTACAAAAACATATTGAAGCAGCTGATCAAATCGTACCGCCGTAATATTTTCGCCACTTTATAACACTTTCTGTTGTTTCTTTTTTCTTCCCCCCTAAATCAAAAACATGTATTTGCACTTTTCTTTTTCTGAGTTTTTTCTATCATGCACATTCATTTACTCTCTATTATACATGCATACATTAGAATACGAGTATGTGATCAAATTGAAAGGAGGATTTTGTTCTTTTCATCTCCTTCAAAGTAATCCCCACCCGCTGTAATATGCCAACGAATTTTCCAGTCATCATAGCACTTGGAAAAAGAAAAAGAGCTCAGAGCTTTCTTCGATTCAGCCTTTATATCTTCAATTAAGTCAAAACCATGTCCTCGGAGTGGTCATGTGAATTTGCTGAATAGCCGGAAGTTATTCGAAGGTAATCAGGCGAATACGGTGATTGTGGCACGATAACTATTGCAGTATGAGATGAAGCACTATCGCACTTATGTATTTGTTCAATAAATTCAGACATAGTAAAAATCGAAGAATTCACTTTTAGAGCCTCGAAAAACGGAGCGTATCTCAAATACTAATGAATATTTTGACGAGAAATTTGGCATAGATGTCACTAACAGTGCTATCAACTTACAGAAAAAAAATTTACCGATTCGAAAAACACGAGAAATATAAATTTCATCACAGTAGTATACATATATGAAGCGTGCAATTGGCTATCCGTCTGATTGTGTTATAGTATTCCTTACTAATCCAAAGATGCTATACTTGTTCATTTTGTACAGATGCATGTACATATTTATATTGTGTACTCTCTAAATTTTGTGAAATATTACATATATGTATGCATCTATGCTTCGTTCTATACCGCATAGGTAAACATATATTTTCTCTTCAAATACTTTTTTGACGCATTAATGTTTCATTAAATATAGTTATGTTGTTTTTTGTTATTGTTTCGTTTGTAATTAGCTTGTTCGAAATCGAAAATTGTCGTCGCCAGTTGGGCGAACAAAAGGAGAGCCGAGCGAATACTGAACACTGAATGCAGGACACTGCAGCAACTGACGACAACGACGTTAAGCACGACGGCAACGTCAAATACGAATATAATCGATATATTTATTTTGCTATTTGTTGCCTTACTTTGTTAGTGTGCAATTTTTTATAAGTATAACGGATGAAAATAAGCGCGATTTACTTTGTGGTGTGAGTTTTTTTTAATACATAAGCAAAGCTTCACGTTGCTAAGTTGAACCGAATGTTGACACTCCCACATATGTGTGTGTAAGTAAATATGTACGTTTGCGAGCAAATTATTCCTTAGAACTCAAGCAGTGAGGATTTGTGCGTGTACGTGCCAGTGTGTGCGTGCCAACAACAGTTGCTGCTCTAATTATTGATTACAATATTAGAACCTTTTCGTACCACTTGCTTCAACTAAATAGTTTTCACAATATACCTGAGTGTCCAAACCCCTAGGTTTTAAATATGCTTTATTATAGATTTTGGATTTTGTCTTGTGCAGGCTGTTTTCACTTGTTAGATTTATTGTTATTTTGCGCTGATACTCCTACGTCCAGCGAACGCCTTAGCTTTTGACCCCAAAAGTATGTAACATAAACCCATGACACATCAACGGCAGCGTTGCCACATACATCAACACTAAATAATAAAGTATGTATATCTTAAGTTATATTAACGAGTACCAAAACAATGTGTATGTGCAACAATAAACAGAATACATTTAAAAAAAAATTTCAAACTGAAGAATAATATTTCTCAACAATTGTAAGGGATTATGTCAAGATATTTTTCGTCTTTTATGCTTTTCTCTTCGTATTAAGTATCAGCATCAGATTTGGTCTTCATATATATGTATGTACAAATGAAACAAATATTCAGTGACACGTAATGTGGAGTGCAATACATATGAATTTGCCCCAGCAAGTTACGCCAAACGAAACATACATTGCATTAAAAAAAAATAGTTAGGAAACTAATACAAACACACCGTGCAACCGTGCATAAGGCCTTTCCGTAAAATAGGGATGAACGATCGCACATACAAAAGAGTTGTTAAATCGGCCTTAAGAAACTCTCTCTCTCTCGTAAAACTAGTGGGTATTTAACTACAGATTTAACCGTTAGTTTTCTTTCGGAGGCCTATATAAATATAGATTAGCTGTATTAGCAAATGCTGTCAATAGCAAAAAAATATTTGGATTTTATTTCATTTAAGCCTACGAAATTTCCATTTAAAACAATTAAGCAAGGAAGAAGAACGAAATATTTCGAAACGACTGCAAACATTTATGAACGTGAAATTTAGTATTGAAATGTAATTAAATATTTAGGAATACCGATGGACTTTGGAAGAATGTTATCACATGTCTGTGAAGCAAAAAACGAACGTCAACCAGCACAATTAACGTTCGTCGTCGAAAAGCTGTAATCACCAAAGACAGCCGAACGAGCTATTCAAATACGGCGGCGGAGACCTGATAAGGAACTCTCGTCAAATTTTTTGTATAATATGGTCAGACGAAAGCATTCCCAATGATTGCAATTTAAGTGTGCTCTGTCCAATCTACAAGAAGGGAGACCCCACAATCTGCGCCAACTACCGTTTTATAAGCCTCCTCAACAAATCGAATAAGGTTCTATCGAACGTACTGTGTGATAGATTAAAGCCCACCGTCAACAAACTGATTGGACCTTGTCAGTGTGGCTTTAGACCTGGCAAATCAACAACCGATCAGATATTCACCATGCGCCAAATCCTGGAAAACACCCGTGATCAGAGAATCCACGCGCACCACCTCTTCGTTGATTTCAAATCTGCTTTTGACATCATGGAAAGAAGCTGCCTTTACGCCGCGATGTCTGAATTTGGTATACCCTAATAGGGCTATGCAAAGTGAAGTTGAGCAACACCAAAAGCCCCGTCAGGGCAGGAAACACCTCTCCGAGCCGTTCGATTCCACAAGAGGGTTCTAACAAGGCGACTCCTTTTCGTTCGACTTCGTTAATCTACTCTTTGATCTACTCGAATTATCGAACTGCAAAGCTGAATCGAGAAGCACAATCTTTTGTAAAAGCTACTGGCGTTCCCCGATATTAATGATACCATAGTATTGTATATCACTGTATTAACAGCAACAACAATGTCAGCCTCGAAAGTCAATGAATTAAAAGACATCGGCTACGCTGGCTAGGTCATATCTTCCGAATAGCCGAAAACACTCCAGCTCTGAAAGTATTCGATGCAGTGACCGCTGGGGGAAGCAGAGGAAGAGGAAGACCTCCACTCCGTTGGAAAGACCAGGTGGAGAAGGACCTGGCTTCGCTTGCAATCTCCAATTGGCGCCACGTAGCGAAAAGAAGAAACGACTGGCGCGCTGTTGTTAACTCGGCTATAATCGCGTAAACGGTGTGCACTCCAGTAAAGAAGAAGAAGAGTAGATTAGTTTAAGGCGAATAAATTTAATTTATTCTCATTATTCATCTCTAAATATTATTCTTTCCGATATTAATTTAATTACGTTTTATTATACCTAACATGCTACAATGGTTGGCCATATGAGGCGCCACAATTTCACAAATAATCATTCTATGATTTTAAAACTCACAAATAATCATTTCAAAAACCATTAAAGTTCTTCAATGATACTATGAGTTTAAATGGCAGCAGAATAATTTTATTTGAAAAAAAAAAAATTTTAATTCCTTCCCATTTTAAAAAAACAAAAACTTCCGCAACTAACTTACTGATCAATATACATATTTGAATGGATACATATTTGTGCGTAAAATTGCATATGCTCAAAAACTACTACGAATCATACTGAACCATTCTGCCTAAGAGGCTATAGGTTGATATCCGCTTTCGATGCAACATTTTTAAGTTATTATAAAATGTTCTTTGATATTCACATGATCATTAGTTGGAATAATCAAGTCGGACAACTATAACATATATCTCCTATACAACAGCCTATTCAGTTTTTTTATTTTCCGGTATCCTGTCCTTAATTAAGCCATTACATGAGTTTCACGGACTCAAAAAATGACAACAATCTTATTTAATTCTATAACATGCCTAGAATATTGTCCTAAGAGATCAGCTATATAGTCATATAAAACTTTAAACGCGGGCTCTCACGAACTACTCAACAGGGCCTTGAACGTAGAATTTTTTGTTTAATTACAACTAAAAACAAAACAAGATTGAAGATGTTTATCAAAACCCCTTTTTTTTGTGAAAACTTCTGCCAAATACTATTTTAATTTGTTTTGGCTTCTCCTTCGTCCAATACCTAAACAAACAAGACAACATAAAGAAATGGACAACCAAAAAAAGTGGGTAATTTTGTAAATCTATTAATTTTGGTGCATATAGTATAATAATTTCATTTATTTTTATAATTTCAAAATATGAGAGAACAACTCAGGAGCAGCTGCAGCGTTACAGTATATTATTTACAAATAAATATCTTTTTATTCGCACATGTATTAGATACATATGTACATATTTAAAAATAAAATCTTGTCCTAATTAATTAAACATAAATATATACATGTCTTTTTATTCATACTCAGAAGGAAGTAAAATGTTCAAAGACCGCAAGTTATTTAATATAATAGATTTTTGCTTTTGAAATCACCTCAGCATACGGAAAACCTTACAAATAACAAAAATCTCACAAGGGTGGTAATTTTTATGAACATTCTTCAAAGGTATCTTTGGCACAACGGTTGATGAATTCAGCCTCCATGCCGAACTATCTTCAAATGGATTGAGGCTAATCGACTTCGACACCAAATATGATTATCTGTAGTACTAGATTCCAGCACAAGAAAATACATCAAGCTACCTGGCTGTCTCTTAATCGAAATGTCAGCAACACGATCGATTATGTTGCGATAGACGGAAGGCACGTCTCATGCTCTAGCTCTGCCTTGCTATCATTAAAGTTCAGTTCGCACACTACAGCTCATCGATTAATATTTAGGCTGTTCACGGTAAGGTTGTTATCAGGTTATGTGGTTATTAGATTAAAAATAACCTCTATGATCCGTGAACATCCCATATTGTATGGTTATATGCTTATTTTTACACAAACAGCTGTTCATTGTTTACATTTTAGGTTCAATGAAATTTCTACTTATAAAATGCCTAAACAAAGTTTGAAAAGCAACATAATTGAATTTAAGATAAATTCTGCTATTCAGGAAATGGACTTTATTGAAGGTATGTGCTTATTAAATAATCCGAATTTTAAGGGTTCAAAAGATTCTTTGTATAAAATTTGCAGACATCGTGCGCCCTGAACAGTGTCACAATGCAATTGTAAACAAAAAACAGCTGTTGATAGCAGAATTTCCAATTAGAAGATATAAATGGAAATGCCATTCGCTTAGTTTTATTTATTTTTTGTGCTGCCATTTAGTAAAACGCTAACGACTTTCTGACACTGGAAATAAGCAAACAACCACATAATCTATAAACAAGGGTCTGGGTTGGTCAAAGTTGGTCATTTTGTCATATCGCATTTTATTGTTGTTTACTTAATCACATAACCACATAACCCGATAACCACCTTATCGTGAACAGCCTAATTAATTTATATTGTGTGTATAATTTTAGCGAGGGTACTTTTATTTCAGATAAGTGGATATGAACGCCTTCTTGGTATGTACCCCTTCACACAGATCTTCCCATATCCTTCAAGCTCCCTGCGTTGAAATTATTGACCTGCCCACAGTATTTGCCATTTTTCTGGGTTTAAGTTGCTTTTTATGTGTAACTCTACCAGCATTTCCAACGTTTCCATAAAAAATTATGGCAAGTGTTTACCAGCCTTTGGTATATTATATGTAGCCTTAGCTTTCCTCCATATTGAAGAATATAGTTGAATTGCAATGCCATTCTATATAAGCATGGCCTACCATGGCTTTTGAAGGTATCCAATGCTTCCACTATGTTTTCGATATCATCAGAAAAAGACTTCCACGAAAAAAAGTGTTTTTCAAGAATTATCCGTATTAATTTTTCTAACATGAGTATCTAATATTTTCCACTGGTTTCTTGTTATGAATATTGACCTATTACTTCTGTTACATAACAAAAGCCTAGTACCCAGTAAATAGTTAAAGAACAACTCACTCCTTTGGTTGATATCCGTTCTGCTCCATATTGTGTGGGGCGAATTTGATTTGCATCCGAATATAATGAATCACTTGAAAGGTCCCGTACCAGCTCTTTTTCAGTTCCGATGGCATATAGCCTGAAACCAACCGGTATTTGCTAGTGCTTTTTTTAAGT